AAGAGGAACTGGTAGCTGCGCCTGTGCCTGTTGCGGTGATCATACCATTGTCTACTATGACAGAGCGGGGTGGCCTAGTAAAATAAAAAGTGCTTACCCCCCCACGACAATTTCATCGTCCATCGCGATGTTTTACTGTAAACATCGTCAACTGCCAATTTAGGGGACATCGCCCAACCCTATACTGTAGTTTTTATCAGTTTTATGCGGAGCCAGCAGCCATGAAACACTTAATGAGGCTAACTGAGCACGTTTGTTGTCCAGCACAAAACAACACACTGTAAAGTCAATCTTGACGGAAAGAATCCTCCAATAATCTTCCTGATAGGACACAAGACAAGGACAAGACATTATATGCTTGTTTCAAAATATAATGATTTATAATATTTTAAATATTGAATTAATAATACAAATGGTGAAATAAAAGTCTCTCAAATACCCCATTAAAACACACAAGAACTTGAAGAACATCATAGAAAAATCCTGCTGTGATTTAATATCAAAAATCATTCAGATCAAACATATGTTACCCAAAGACATGTATTTAATCATGAATCTTAATTCATATTAACTTTAAAAAATCTTTGGAGCTAAATATAATACATATACATATGTTACCTAAGGAAATGTGTTTAATCATCAATCAGATGATTGTTTTTTAAAATTGTCTTTCTTGAAATAAAGGTGGTGCTACACCATCTTACTCTGCTTTTGCACCATCATCCCACTGTTTTAATTTACCACAACCCTCATCACAGTTGGATGTGGTCCGAAATTGTCTGTTGCACCTGTGACCACATCTAGCGGTGATGTTGTGTTGCACAGGAATGCATTGTGAAGTGCTTTACTGCACAGTGTGGACAGAGCATGTAGCAGCTGCTACCTGGCAGTACAAGCTGGATATCCAGCCCGAATGTATTAGTATTTGTCAGTGTGAAAGTCTGTAGACAGGCTGTGTGTTTTCTATGTGCATCATATATTTTTGAATGATCCAAACAGACCCTGGAGTCTGTTGTCTTGTAAAGCAACAATTTGCCTCCTTTCTTCAACTTTAACTTCAAGCTTTGGTTTGTGTATAAACTTAGACTTAAACTTGAGCAAATGCTGCTGGAAGTTGAATTTCCATCAGTGTAATTTGACACTTTGAACACTTCTATTACAAAGAAAAAAAAACATTACAGTGTGACCCTTTTTTAAATTTACAGAATAAATATATCAACATGTTTAAAGGTCGTCCAACCTCCACCCACGCAGGTGTTTTCATGCCTGATTAGACTTCCTGTCACTACTAAGTGGGCATGTACAGACTGTGCTTGATTGACGTCTCTGTGACTTGCGAGTGCGCCCATCTTAAACCTGAGCAGGGGTCTAATCAGGAAGAATAACAGAAAATATATATTATGTTTAAGTTTTGTGCAAAAATGAAAAAGGATTAAAAAATGTATATAGATATTTCAACCAATGTGGATTACTGGATCGTAAAAGTTAAAGAAAACCAAACCAATTAATAAAATAGACACAGCACAATTAATAATATTAGCTATAAAAAATATATATGCATAAATATATTTAAGAATACATATTTCATGTGTATTTTTATGGATAAACTGGATTTCTCAGTTCTTAACAGCTGGTTAAGACTTTATCAAGAGCTGCTGTCAAAACAACATAAGACCTCAAGCTCATTTGCACAATCATTCAAAGCAGGTTTTACACTGTTCGACTCGTCTGTGCAGATCAACAGACTTTTAGATCTCAGTGTTCTTTTTCTTAGAGAGGCAGGAGTAGATTAATGTTCATATAGTAAGAAATCTGTTTTAACATTTTGGGACAAAGAATTAAGAGTTAAAAAGAAAAATATGAAAAAAAACAAATATGTGATTATTGGGCCTCTGAAAAGATTACAGAGATTGCAACTGTAATTTTATTTCACCACTTGTTGTGGAGGCTCTTTAATCTGTCGTATTATTGGGGGGGAAAATGTTTCTTATTTTATCTAAAACTATTCTTATACTTAATATCTCAGCTGGAATAAAAATCTTCAATTAGGTGGTCTTAAGAGTACATTAGTGTTGATCACATGATTATTAGCTCACAAGTGCAAACTACATGACTAGAGATTGAACTGCAGATAGAGGTTTCATTGATGATCCTTTTTCCTTTAAGGAAAACACTTTGGCACTGAATGTGTGTTCTCCAAAGCAGAGCACATCCAACAACGGCTTGTTAGTTTCTCTCAACTTGAAAGATCAAAATGTTTGCATGCCAGTGTTGTATTATATGTCTTAACTAGCTACGTCACCATGCAGTGTCATCCTTCAGATGTCTTTGTTGTCTTTCAACTACTGATAAACCAGTCTCTTCTCTTTTCAGACCACCCCCGCTTTCTCTCTGCCTCTCTCAACCCTGTATCCCTAAGATGTTTAACGATTGCAATGTTTCTTCATATAATTTAGGGCTACATTCCAAAAAGCAAATGGGAGATGGACACGTCTGAGGCAAAACTTGGTAGGTATTTGTTCTTGTTGGGCTTTATTTTATGACCGACTACCGCAGTTTGTTTATGTTTGTCTTATAGCTGTGTATGTGGACTAAGCTTCCGGGTCTGAAAAGTGAAGCCAATGCGGGCGTGCCTTAAACTTGCATTCTTTCTAATGATCAGCAGGGGACGACTCCACAGGTTGCAAAATGAAGTCCGATTGGATGGAGTCTTATGAGAAAACGATCCTACTTCTCACTTGATTTATTAACAAGTTTATGTCTCAATCGCTAGTTTCAAGTCTTCTTCAATACAGCGTGATGCTCATTTTGTAAATTATGATCCCATTTAAAGTAAAACAGACAAAGTAGGATATGTTTTAGGGCTTGGCTACCTTGTGATTGACACGCCAGGTACTCAGTCAGATCCAATCAGGATAGAGATGTAGCAATGCGTATCATGCCCAACTCCACACTCTGGTCCATATATGGTCACTTCTGGTTCCAAAAAACCAAGATGGCAACGACCATAAAGCTAAACTTGAGGCTCAAAAGAAGGTAGTCAACACAACAATTGGTGATGTTAAACTATTCTTGGTTGTTAACACACCAAAATAAAGCCCACTTTTGTTTTTATCTGAAGAAAACATGTCTTCATAAAGGGGTGAATGCACTGAGAGAATGAAAAGATGAGGTTGTACATATTAGACCAAAAAGTGGGAAGTGTTGAAGCTGGCCTTTACATGAATGTTAGGATGATGCAGTTAACATTTTTATTTTTAGGGCAGAACTGACCTGAAAAGTAATCTATTTATACAGACAAGTTGGACGGTCTGGGGAGCAGTGGGAAGAGGAAACGTGAAGACATGGCAGACCTGGATGACTACCTTCAGCTGCCAGACGACTATGCCACACGCATGTCTGAACCAGGAAAGAAAAGGGTAAATTGACACGTTTGGCTACCGAGCTGTTGCTTTGATCATCTTAATGAGTGTTTTCCATTGATGAAACAAGAAAATTCTATATGTAAGAATCCAGTTCATCCAGTTCGTATAAAATACACAGTTTTGTGTAATATTAAATGTTAGATAACATATCTCAAATTATGCTCCGTCATTCATTTCCTGGCCATAACAACTTGGTGGCTCTCCTTTTTGTTAAGGTTCGATGGGCTGATCTTGAAGAGCAGAAGGATGCAGATAGAAAGCGCGCTATCGGCTTTGTGGTGGGTCAAACAGACTGGGAGAGAATAACAGATGAGAGCGGCCAGCTGGCACAAAGAGCTCTTAACCGTACGAAGTATTTCTAAGAAGATAATCTTATCCCCCTTTTCCCTTCATTTAAAGGTATGTACATTCCTCTTTTGTGTAATGTTGTTAGGGTGGCTGTAGATGTCACTGATGGCTTAGATGAGTAATTATGTCTGTGTTTTGGTGATTAATATTCAAATTCTAACGCTGTAAATATTTTCATAGTAATGCACCTTTTATTGACTTGATGAGGCCATTGAAAATGTACTTCTTGTACATTTTGGCGACTTGTTTAATCCAGCTTTATCTTCATTGTTCAGCAAGCCATTCAAAAAGATTTGTATTACATTTCCAAGCTTAAACGCAGTAAATAAAAGTGAATAAAATGCTGTGAATATTTTAAAAGTAACCTCACTAGGTTTGATTTGGGGCATTTCTTTTTACTGATGATAAACACCTGAAATGACCTGTAATGATACAAATACAGCTGTAACAGCTCTTTACTCTGTATGAAGATAATATAAATCAAAATGTCTGAATATTCCTAAATTTATTCATTATAAATATTCATTATACTTGTTCTCCAAGTATCACATATATAAGTTTAACTTGATTGTATCGATACCACAAACAAATTATCCAATAATTTCTTTTCCTTTCTGCAGGTGTCCAGAATGTCGAAACACTGAAGCTTACATGAGACTCATCGAAGTGACATCACCAATAGTTATCAAATTCTTAGTTTTTTCATTGATAAAGATACGGTAGAGTTTTTTTTTCTTCTCATTTTTAAACAGGCACTCTGCCTTTTCACCATTAAATGTGTGGTTTATGATTCAGTGCTTTCTCTGGCCATGTATCCTGCGTTCAGTCATGTTTCATGCTGTTTTATACTCTTCATGCTTTCTGTACTATATACCTGTAGCACTGTTTCTTGGTCCATGCATACTTAAAAAGACAATAAAAGTTTCATAAAATTACCTACTTGGGGAGTCTTGCTTGAGTTGTCGTTTGGGCTTCTTGTTGACGAACCCCAAAATGTATATGCTTGCAAAACAGTGTAAGCAGAATGTGCTAGAAATTAATCAGGCTGAAGAATAATTGTTTACATCTCACCAACTTCACTTGTTTAGCCCCCATGACATATTTTAAGGACAACTATAATTATGACTATCACTGTATACTGTATTGTTATGTTAGGAGAATGGAAGTAAGAGAGTATAGGGTAACATGAAAGTTGGTTTGGAGAGAAAAACTTAAAGAGGCTGTTTTATTTTATTATGTTCAGGTTCATAATATTTCTGGGGCATACAAGAAAAGGTTTACATGCTTAATTGTTTAACAAACACATTTCTTTTCACCCTGTCTGAAGCACTGTCTCTTTAAGGCCCCCTCCTGAAAAGTCCAGTCTGCTCTGATTGGTCAGTTCCCACATGCCTGAGCAGGCTCCGCCCACGTGTTTCCACACTGGCTCTGCTCCGTGTTTTGCAACCAGGGAATCATTGTAATCGTGTTTAGCTGCACTTCTACCGTAAATATCACCATAATAACTGCTTCTAAACCAAAAACTTGACCACTGCGCACGTTTGAGGAATTTGTTCCAAAATCGAGGACAAATTGTGCAGAAATGAATTTGCTTTGCAACGTTGTGTAACTTTGATTAGCACTGAGCAAGCTAGCTGCTGGGTGCAGGTCATGAACAGCTGGAAGAAGGGTATCAATCCGCCCTTGAGCTTGAACCATTACTGGCTGGCCGTTGAGAAAGCAGTCCGGAGTGAAATGCACACGTTGCCATCAAAAATAAACTTGATCCACTCAGCTTAAGAAAAGGTTGGACTATAATTGATTTAAGTAGTTCAGGAGCAGTGTTTCCTAAGAGAATAACTCACTTTACCATGGAGTTGAGCTTTGTAACTTTGCGGTTTTACATGCACCAAAAAGCTATATAACACTAAGGGAAAGGGAAAACCCCAAAAAGCATAATATGGTCTCTTTAATGTGTTTATCACACCAGTACAGTTTTATACCTCTGTGCATTGCTTCCCAGTCCTTTAATGGTGTTTTTTTATGTTTTATTTTAAAAAAAATTAAACAATACTACGAGATAATTGTACTTGAGAAGAAGATCCCAATTTTCAGTCCTAAGAGTTTGAAATAAGAAGATTGTGTTTGTTGCAGCATTTTCTCTGGTTCAACTTTTGGCTTGTGTCAGAAGATTGTGTGTAATGTTAAGTGCATGATTGCAGGACTAAAAAGGACCATCTCATTGTGTTTATAACCTACAAGTGTAATAGAGGACTTATAAAATTATAGTAAATGCAAAAAAGGTCAAGATGCTACACAGTCCCATAGCGCGCAGGGTTGTCAAGAACTCTCAGCTTCCAAAGATAGCAAATCTGTCATGTTTAGTGCCGGGAAAGTAAAGTCAGGTGTGCTGGTAATATTGGTGTTCAAGTGGTTAAAGTTTCTTCAATGCCCACAGTGGCTTTCATGACTAGAATAGTGTTTTAATTTTTACCTCTCATTTATATTCCATTTTTTTAATCTTGCCATTGTTTTTGCACATTTTTACATTCAAAGTCAAAATATAAAAGTATTACCACATTCAGCTGATCATTACTATATGTGATCACTTATGCACATTATTGTAGGCCATAATTAAGTGCTTATATTTTATTTACTGGTGTATAAAAAATGTGTCTCACAAGTTAAACTTTGAAACAAACTGAGAACTGGCTTCAAATTTCTGTGGATAATCTACAAGTAAAAAAAAAGATGGTGGGACTATTTAGTGCGATGTGTTTTAAATATATTTAATATATAAGATCATTTAAAAGAAAATATCACACATTGTCTTGCTGTAGTTGAGTTTTACAAACTGTTGAGTTCAGATTCCCATGGGCAGATTTCATGAGTATTAAAAGGAACCAAATTCAGTTTCACTGAGTGTCTGAGTTCTCATGGTTAATATATGGCGATGTAAGCAGGTGTATTCACTTTTTACATTTACAAATTTTGCACTTGTGAAGCAATGGGTCCGGATTATTCACACATGAGAAATTTAACATCTGGATTGTCAACAACTGAAGACAACTCAAGGATCACCAATTCTGACCAAACACACAGAACCACTGATGAAGACCATGTTTGATTTGGACAGCCAGCCACAGTGTATCATTGGATGGATTGATCCTCATGGTAAGTATGGAAGAAGGCCAGAAATACTGCTGTTTTTGTTTGTAAGGGACGGACAGTAGACATATTTTACAGAATCAGTCATTTTAAAATTCATGTAATTTCCATTTTATATATCCTGTACATATGAATGGTAATAATGAGCTCTGTTGAACATTAAACTTTGTTTTTTTTCTCATGTGTTGTGGACCTTATTTTGTGCTAATTAAACATAAATCGTCTCAAAAATCTGAAAACATGTTGCACTTTGTGACTTGAAGACATTTCACCGATAAAACTTTCACCATCATACAAAATATGTATTATTGCTATATAATAAGACTGATATAGCAAAATACATATTATGTCCAACTATTTCATGATGTCTTTGCCACCAGTCTGCCATATATAGAGAGAGATTGGAGATGTGCAGGCATTTACTTCACTTACCTATTTTACAATATAGCATGCTCTTCATTAAATACAAAATAGTTTGCTAATCAAGGCACGAGTAAGTCCACATTGTGACAGTAACCACTGTGGCACATGATGACTTCTGCTTGGTTCTCATCCAGAGTGATGACTTTTGAATTCAGCGGGTACGTCACTGTCCAGTTTACAAATCACCTTGTATATCGCTTTCTTCCACGATGGATCACGATCCTTGCCCACTGAAATGGCGATGTAAAATTCTCTCAGTGTGACCTCGACAACTTCCAGGAATCTGTCAGGGACCTGTGAATCCACAGGAGATCAGAGACATTAAATCAGGACCTTTAACATACATACAGTTCACATCCCCAACATTGTCTTTGTGTGTGTGAGAGAGAGACATAGTCATAGTATCATGGACTGGCATTATGTTTAAGATAATCAGAATCAGGCCTAGCAAATCAAGGTAAGTAGCAAGTAAAAACTTAGCTGAGGGAATATGATTAATTAATGAAAATACCAGATTGTATCAGCACACACACAGCTCTGTTTTTTAGTGTGTAACTTCAGTTTTCTTCTGTTGTCATGTGCTTTGATACCCTTTTTTCTGTATCTGTAACTCAGTAATAATGTTGAAATCAAACTCGGAACTGGTGAGCAGTATTATGTTGCCAAGTTAAAAATCACTTTACAGTACGTTCAATATTTAGTCCTCTGTCAAAGACCCTTGAGTACGAGGAGGAGACTTGCATTAGTTTAAGTTATTGTAATATATTTTTTATGTACTAAATCTTATTCTAAAAATATCCCTACCCATCCTTCTTAACAACTTTAAAAAAGAAATCTGATGATATATCAGCTGATCATTTTTTTTTTTTGACACAACCCATGAAATTAATAAACATGTCTGATAAGGTTCCCTTAAATTTATTTTTTGTGTCTTTGTTTTCCAAGTGAACTGAGAATGGTTGTCGTGAAAGGTAGTCCAGTGAGCTGAGAATTTATTAAATAAAAATAATTATTAAAATAAAATACGAGAGGCTCATGACATGTTCACTGTATGTAGTACATTCAGTGAGAGAGTGTATACTTGAACGTTGACTGAAAATGGATAATTTCAGGAAGTGAATCAATACAGTGTGTTAATCCAAAAGATTTGTTCCTGAAACATTTGTGAATGTCACAACAATAGCGCCAAGGGGGAAGGGAAGAAGCACCATTTCCCTATTACAAGTCAGTGTACCATCGAAATGATACTGAAGCTGTTATTTTAAGGTGAAATGGTTGCATAATGTTGCTTAATGGGAAAAATAATGGGATAAAGATCCAAAATGGCAGTGAGTTCAGTTTCAAATCGTGCAAAGGAAACGTGTGAGACAAAGAGGGCAGCCTGTGTTTTCATTTCATGTAACATGCATGTTTGATTTCAGCTCCTGCTCCCAATCAGTGCTGGGTGTGTTCATGTGTGTGATCTGTTTAACTACAGCCCAGTGATTTTCAAAAATACTTAAACAGGGTATCTGCAGTGTTGATGGTTTTAGCCAAAACATACATGAATTCAACCTGGTAAACTGTGCAGACACCGTGTCTAAACACTAAGCACTGTTAAAGTGAATACTGTGTGCAGTAAAGCTTTGCCCTATTGTACATTTAATAACACATACATATAAAATTACTGTATGGATTTTTATTTATTTGAATTTACATACTTCTGGTTCATTTGGTCTGCATGGATTTTAAATACTTAAAAAGTAAAATCACTACTGTGAAGTTGCCACTGAGTGAAAGAACTTTGCCTCATTAGATGTCTTAATGCTGTAAATGACATACTGAACACAAATGTAACAACCTACCAAATGACTGAAAATGACTTTTTCTCTGAATATTAGCTACAAAATTAAATTTGTGCTTAATATTCAAACACACTAGAGAAAAATTAATGACAACAAAACACACAATAATCATTGTGACACCAACTTGATAGTGTGCTTCTTTAGCTAATAGGCTTAGTCATCCATTATAGTCAGCATTTACTTTTAGAAATTATGAAATTATTGTTAATCATGTTAATTAGTAATTTTTTTGCAGCAAATCTTCGTTTGAGGTCATTTTAAGTGCTCCGTCTAAGTGGTTAATTTCTTCTAAAACTCATCTTCAGTCACACTAGACCCACCGTCCTTTGGATGCTTCTCACTGATGTATTACAGTATAGTAGTTGTGCTAGTTAGTAGAATTAGTATTAAAACTTTGTTACTATGTGTTAAAAATGTGTCTGTGTGAAAAAGTACAGCATGTATCTGTGCATATGGATTCACATCTTGTGTTCTTCACCGTTCATGCTACACCTCATGGCCTTTTGAGAAATAATCAAATCAGGTTGGGCTATTGTCTGTCTGTGTTCACTAATATAGTGGAGGCTTAACTTGTCACTGTTTTTATGAAGTTATGGTTCGACTACAAGAACAATATAATAAGGTTTTGCCTCATATTAACATGTGTTCACAAGTGTTTGAAACTGGATGAAACCATAGACATCGTAGTACTTAGCATGTCAGCCCCTTTCTCACTCTCATTTAATTATCTACTTAATAAACTATTTCATG